AATAGTATAAAAAGTTAATTTAGATTGTTTTTTACTTAATATAAAAAAATTATAAAGATTGGTTAAAATTTGAATGACTTTTATTAGAAGCAATTATTAATTTTTATATTGGTATACCAATCTTTTTGCACTGGCCCATATTTATCTTAGTAATTTTGATTATATATTAAGTATATTTTAAATATTCTTTCAAAATATAATTTAATTATCTGTTTTATTTATTTATTTAATAAGAATAAAATATAATTAATATTATCAATTTATTCAAATAAAGTCTTTAAATAATGATTAGTAAATTTGACATTATGATCTGAAATAATAATATAAGATAGTTTATGTTGCTTGAAAATATTATTAAAGAATAACTTAGCAATTTCTGTAACTATAACTAATATATAAATTAGAATAAAATAAGTATATTAAGTAAGATACTTAATAACAATGAAAATAATATTAAGTTATTGACAAATGATTGATAATAGTATAATAAAATTCATGATAAACTATTTTCAGTATTAACTTAGTATATTCAATAATTGTAAAAGATCAGATAAGAGTTGATTATTACATTTCTTTAATATAATTATAACTTAGAATATATTTATATAAATTCTTTGTTAGTAATAATAATAATATTAGTATTAATATTTTACCAATTTCAAGATGACCAGCAATTGTAATAATATGATATTTTCTAAGATTTCTGTTTTCAAAGCTTTATTTTTTTGATATTCTGTGTTTCTCAAATATATTTTATCAATTCTTTAACTCAAAAAAAATATACACTTAATATTTCATTATCAATAATTTAGCAATTTAGCTTGACGAAACGAATTTATATTAAAAACTTCTTGTTGACAATTTCTAGGAGTTATGCTAAGACATTCGAGCATGAATTCAACTGCTCTTACATGATGCGTTTTTATTAATTACAAAAAATAATAACAAGTTATTGCTGCACTTAAAGCAAATATCAAAATGCAATATTATACATATTATTACATATAACCTGTCAATTATGTTCTATGGTGTGATGGCATTATCGTCTCCAATATTGATTGCTGATTCGTAGTAAATGATCATTTTGGATTAGAGTGGTATCACCGTTCGTGCCATCTTCAGAGCTATCTCCGTTTAAGGAAGTCTCTACAGAGCTTATATCGCTAAATATATGGCGAATGGTAGCGTAGACTGCGTGATTTCTAGTCTCATTACTGGAGACTGTACTCTCGCTGCCTTCGTCATCCTCGTGAGCGTTTTCATTGATATGTTGGGTATTCATAATCCCAAACTTGATCTCGTTGTCATTACCATTTGCATGATAACTATTAATCTGATTGCTGATGATCGTCACAACTGGACTAAATGAAATCCTTTGCCATAGCCAACAATCTACCAAACCTTTCACAAACAATCCAATTTCACCCCCTTCGTCACACATTCCACCTTTCCTTGTTTCGCGAATATCCAAATACATGGCGCCAATGTATGCCAAAAAACAATCAGATAAGATTCGCTGATTGGCGCGAACTTTTTCTGGCGTAATAGATGCGCAAATCTTTGAATCAAGTTGTGTTCCCAACGCGAATTCAGCAAGTTGACTACGAGCAGAAATTGTGTCAACTAATTTTTGGAGCTGACGCGCGTTGTGTGTTGGATACCGGTGGAAGATGTCGTTTGTCAGTTGCATTAAGAACGAGAAGTGGCCTAGAAAGCGGAGACGGTGGAAAGTGATGCATGGATTATCATTTATGTTATTGTGTCTGTTTATGCTTGGATGAGTTAACGCATTATTTTCTAGATTCGGATCATTTATGTGAGGAAGTTGTGGAAACTCAAATTGAGCCATATTAAAATATAAATAGATATAATTGTGAATATATTTAAGTTGAAATGAATTCAGTGAAAATAATAATAACAATGCCTGTTTTGTCTTAAGCGAGAATTATGAACATATATAAAGCAACCTTTTTGATTTATTTACACAAATGAAACCACACGCAAATAATCGTTAATTTTATCAAGCTTGGATCTTGCTTAATTGATGCATTGTCAACTGTGACATAATAATGAAACGTAAGAATCACTCACTGTATTTTGCTGTTAGGGTACTACGACCTAGTTTTTTACAAGTTATGAGATGATTTTTGTTTGTGTCTATAAAAGTTTATGGCAAACCAAAAATATCAATATAAAAACATAGGGATGATTTTGAATTGGCTGACTTGTAGTTAATATTTATCTTTATATAGTTTGTTCAATTGATTTGTTTAATATGTGATAAATCAAAATACAGATGCTTAGACCAATTATTCTGCATAGGCCAATTAATTTTATTTTCTTAATAAGTGGGTGGAAATTCTGGTAGTTAACACTTGAATCAAACATTGAACATTAAGTAACAAGAACACTCCGAAAAAACACTCGATTAATATCAACATCCAAAGAAAAAATAAATATTATTTATTAAAAATTTTGGCAATGAACATTTTGATGTCTTAAGAACCCTTACGTTATTGTTATATTTATGGCATGTCTGACAGTTTCGTAAATTAACAACGATAAAGATAATACATGTAATTATAATTATGACATGTAATTTACGAAGATCAATAAATTGATATCGTTATGAATTTTTTATTGATCAAGTGAGGACTTTTGCTGAAAAATGTTAGAAATGTTGCGCTGAAAAGCCGTTGAAAATTACATATGTTGAAAAATGTTCTGATTAAAAGGGTCAGCCGGTAGATCATGTCATAATTTCGGGAATTAACAGAATTACAAAAAATTTTAGACGATACATGTATATTTTTTAATTTTCTGGCCGAAGACTTCCAGTTCTTAAACTACATCATCTATTAGGGATCATTCATCCACTTCTAAAAATTACTAATTAAAGCTTTAAGTGTTTTTTTCTATATTACTTTTTAATGAAACACTTAGACGTATATACTAGTATGAATTTGTCATGTTACAATCACGATAAAAATTTCAAAAATTAAAAGAGATTTAGTAAAAGCTGAAAAGTTGAATTTTGAAGAAAAAAGCAAAAAATATCATTCATTAAGTTCTGACAATTCCAGAATCCATATGGATCACAAAAATACAATCCTAAGCGTATCAAAAGAAACTTAAGGAAAATAATAAAAAGGGAATTTTGAACTCGATTTGCAAAGTTAGTTTGTTCGTCATTCTCGTCAGCAGATTCATCAAGCTTGCTAGTAACTTCCTCCTTATCAAAATTTATTTCAGGTTTTATGTCATCCTTACCAATTAAACTTTTTTTGTGCGCTTCAAAATAATAATAACATTTACTATATTTGATTATATCATCATCTTGTAAAGCATCTACTCTTTATTGCAGGTTCTCTTGGTCTGGTTGCCAATTGAATCACGTTTTGTATTTTCAAGCCGTTTGATATAATTTGACCCACTGTTCTGAAATTATGATTATTGTTATCGGTAGACTTGCTCAAGGAGATAATGCGTTTACAATCGGTGATGTATCAAGTAAAGCTTTATAGTATTTATAGTCGAATTCTTCCTCAGGCGAGTTAGAAATAGCTTCAAAGACATCTTCATTTGCCAGAAGAAATTTGACGATCGCCTTTGGCGAGAGCTACCATTTTGATGAAGGACGAGCATCAGGATGATAGGGATACTCATATTCAAGCATCAGTGATGCGACACAATCAAGTAGTTCACGTTGCAGTGTTGGGACAGTTGTGGATGACTGTATTCGTATTGCACTTTAACAAGCTGCTGAATAGCGTCGATAATATTACTTGTAATTCCCATCGTCAAACAACGTTTATAGATGTAATTAATGGAAGCTGCTTCTTTTTTGGAAAAACTGGTCTTACTCACGGGCTCTTCAAAATGTCCGGATTTTTGTTATCTTCTGTGTCTGGGTGTTTACCTTTTACAATGGCTCTACTCGACCAGTTATTGTCTCCGGGAGGCTTGAAAAGATCTCAGGATCCTCCTCTGTTTTCTCTGTTTTGATTTGTAGTTCATTAGATTTCTTTTTCCTCCTCTGGATTTTTTGCAGGTTATCGCTCATAAAGGTAATAAAGCGATTCCACTACTTTTGAAAGGGTGTCTACATCTTTCTTGACTCTGATTCCATAACCAGAACAGCTGCGCATATGCCGAGCTTTGATTAATCTGCCGCCATTTGATCAAGTATTCTTCATCCTAATACACGCAGATGTCATTCAACTGATAAAAATGAACGAGTGATGTAGAATGTGTCATCACTAATATATCAGTACGTTCAATGTCTTCTTAAAATGAAAGTATGGACCCTCAAAAAAATGGTATGAGCGCCCATGACAGATCTACAATTGCTGTTACTCTATTTTAGGTGAAGGTTTTTTAGAATTCGCTTTTTCCATCATCCTCTTCATAATGTTTACAATTTGATCTTTCGAACTTTGCTGAGCCGTCGAATTTTTATTTCTCTGACTCTGACTCAAGCTCCAATATCGCTCAAATTTAGAGATCAAGATTCCTTGCATAGGATTATTACTCTGCGCTTGTAGCAAGAGGGTAACAGTATATTCCGCATGCAGCAATAGACACAAAGCCCCATTGATTACCGCCGTACACAACAGGATTTCCGCAATATTTCCTTTTTCACTTCATGAAAATTCGGCCGTAATTATAACTTGATCTTAGGTTCTAGAGCCTCACCAAAACTCAATTTACTTGATATTGACGCTTGTACTTGACGTGAAACGAATTCATTTACGTCAAGCTTACGTAGATCTATTAAAGTTTGATCGCATGATATTAACCGTTATATTAGCATCTGTACTGTATTAAAATGATCATTAACAATTCTCAATACTAACCTATAGTATCGAAATCTGTGTTTCAAAAATCTTCAAGCGGAAACTCTGTGTATCCATCGGTGGCTTTAAGAGTTTTGAAAATTTCCCACATACCCTTCAAAGATTATGCATATTCTGCACTAGTTTCCGTGCCCTTTTAATAGCTTCCCCCAAAATCTTTCAACCAGGGATCAGAATGAATAGTTGGGGTATAAAGCGGTGAAAAAAAGTGTTTAAAATACCAACATAAACTGTTTGCAGAATTCAGATATCAACCCTGCTCGAACTTTGGATGGCTAGATGCGTTTCATTTTTTGATTCAGCTCCGTATTTGCGCTAGATTTTTGTTCTGATATAGCATTTACAAGTTCTTCAACAGCCTTCACAATGTGAATATGTAAGGTCTGAAGCAATCTTTCCTGTAATTTTACCATTCTCTCAAATCTTCTAATTCTTTTCTTTGCATCAGACCCATTTCAGCTAGTTCAATCCCATACTTACGCCGTTCATCTTCGTTATAAAGAATTTTCTTCACTTTGTCGTTGTTCTCTTGTTCCGATTTTTCAAATGCATACCACCCATTCTCCATCAATTTATTCCAACCTTCATTGCTGGAAGCTACGTAATAAAATTGCATACCCTCCGGAAATTCATAAGAGCCAGCTTGATGTTCGATTTTCATACGAATGTACTTGAGGATGTCCAAAGTGCTACAAGAAAAAGCCCCTTAATAATAGATTTATTAACCCTCACCTCTTGGGTAATTCCTCCGATATCGAGTTAATCCATCCTTGTTATAAGAACGAGCAGAGTGTCGACACTGATTTTTCTATCAGATCGGTTAAGATGCATTTTCAAACACCAGTGCCGAGATGCATAATACCACCACTACGCTATCATTTTTTGACTTCTGATGCATCTCGTAATATTATCGGAAATGCATAATTATAATCTGTGCTTGGTTCCTGATCACATATACTTGACAGACTAATAAGTGTGTGTAAATTTTTGATCAACCCGGCAAAACAAATCCGTCGCAAGAAAATGAAAGAAGCAGATATTAAAATCTATCTTGGAGCGCTATTAAAAAATAACAGTGAGATAATTTTACATACAATCTATATTCAGTTTTAGTTTAACTATAGCCCTCATGAAAAATCACCTTTTAATAGTTGCCAGCTCACATATAATTAGCGCATTCTTATTGGTTTATTATTATGTGATTAGGAACTGAGCACAGATTATACATTTCGGCATTGATTAGCGCCAGTTCTGGATTATCACAGCAGTCGATTGCAAAGGATTGAATATTGGAGTGAATGGTAATACGTGTATTCTTTTTATCATCCATACGATTCCTGTTTAATTTCATGAATTCTCTCGCTAAATCCCGTAGAGTGCCATCTTGAAAAATTACAATGTCTTTTCCTCGCTATTCTGTCAACAATTCACATTTTGCATCCTCAAATTCTGGATCGTATCGATGCTCAATCAATGTTCTAATTTTAGTGACGTATTATTCCATTTGAAGGGTGACTTGCTTGATGATGCTATTCATAATGATAGACTTTGAATTACTCTCCGATAATTAAAATCCCCTGAGCGAATTAATATATTTTTTTATGATTTTTTTGATTTGCTTTTAATAGCAGTTGCTCAAGCTCGAAGACATTATGACAAGAATCTCCTTCACCGGGTCCATACATTCACAAAAATCATCCATAAGGTCATTTTGCATAATTATTTATATACAAAGAAACGTCAATGATTAAACAATAATAAATTAAGTATTCTTATATACAGGGATACTACATAGCAATACCATGTAATTTTGTTGATTGATACCGGATTTTTCAATTTACCAGAAAATTCTGGATTTCGATTTCCAATTTTTCGTTCACATGACTGTAACACATCCAACCAATAGCATATAAGTAAAAGTTTCACCTCTTTACTTTTCAAGTTAATGTTATAAGTTATTCCTTTCTGCGACCTAAGTAACTATATTCATTGAATTTGCTTGTATTCATTAAATTCTAACTTCTACTTGAGTATTTTTGGAGACAAATAGTGAGAATAATAGAAATATTACATGTATTAACTGCCATGCAGTTGGTTATCAATTCGGTGACTAAAATTACCTCCTTAGTAAATCATCTGACTCACAACTTCTTCGGTTAAATAGTACTGTTTCTGTTTTATTCACTGGAGGCAAGAAAAAAGGTTGTTCAAAGATTACTACAATATTTAATGAAAAAATCTATATTTATTTGTTGTTACTCATTTTATCTACCCATTGAATTTATTTGTATTCTCTGTTGTTCATATTATTTTCTATTACGTTTTTTATTTAAGCTGCAGCAAGCAATTATAAAAAATTGTAATACCATTTATCAATTTGTATATGATTTCTTTTTTCAATAGATCTTATATATTAATTAATTCAACTGGGATTTATTGGAACAAATAATAATTGTTATGATTTGTTTCATTAAATTTCTGACCCTTATAATCAATCATCTAATCAATTTTCAGTTGATACATTCACTACTGAATTTTATTTTTCTTTCGAATCACAAAACTCATCTAAACGTGATAAATACATCAAGTATGGCTTCCTAGTCGCCACATTCCAAGTTAATTGTCGATTTCTTTATCATTCTGCTATCTGAATTTCCTTTTTCATTAACACCAATTAGCTCTAATTCATTGTCACGTGAACTCGATGTCAATTATTACCTGACTTCTCAGTGCGAATTCGCTTGATTACCTGTTCGAATAAGGTACAATCTGATTCAAGATAGACAAATAGGCAAGGTGTTAGTTATTGTTTCATCACTTTCAATATTTTTCAAAACAAGAAAGGATAAATAGTAGAATGTTTGAAATTCCTACATAGTAACAGTTATTGTTTACCATCAGATGTAATAATAACTTTGTTGAACTAGATACTTGCATAATAAGTGACTTCCAATAAAAGCAAGGCAGTTACCATTCTTTTTGAACTGATATTACTTCATTTAAAAGCGTCCCAAAATAACAAATCTAATCTGAAAAGATTAAATTAATATAGATAATATCATTTGATAACACTCCAGTAGGCTTCGATCTTTATCATTATCTTATCAAAAGATATTGTAGATCTAACAGAACATGCCCATAGATGTCATCATTCTGGTGAATACCAATTAGTCCAGAAATAAGTCCATAATAACCGCAATGAATTTTTAACGCAGAATTTATATATCTCTTTTACAGGCTTTCGTCTAATCTCTATTGGTGTTAGGATGGTTCGATTAAAGCTCCATTCGGACCGGGTTTGAGAAGAATCTGATCTGATCTGAAATTTTCAGTTCAAATTTGACATTAACCGGATCAGCTTTAATCCAAACCCGAAATGAAAATATTCGGTAGGGTCAAGTTTCGGGTTGATCCGATAATTTAATGGGAGTAGCCTAATATTCGGTATAATTTTTGATCAAACATAAAATAGTATATTTATAAAATTTTTTTATATATCATATAATATATTATCTAAAGTCTTGTATTTATTAAGATATTATTAATATAGAATAGTATCTGTTAAGAAGATATTATACTTAAGTCTTTTCATCTATAATATCTTAACTGTAAATATAATTTTAATTTGTATAATTCAAGCAAGAATATTTTTATTTGATTCTTCAAAATAGATAGGTATCATAGAAATCAAAAAATAGTTAATTATTTGTAAATTTTTATACTAAAATTTTTTTAAACTTTTAAAATAATCAAAATTACTATATTAAAATTTATATATTTATATTATATATAATAATAAAAATTAATATAATTTAATAAATCAATTATTGAAAATTAAATTTTTAATTTAGATATTAAATTAATTTTATATATATAGTAATAATTAAAAGTAGCTGATCTTTTATAACTTTTTATACTAAAAAATTTTTTTATTTTAAACTTTTTAAAATAATTAATATTACTATATTAAAATCATATATATTATAATAATAAAAATTTAGTAAATTATTATTGAAAATTAAATTTTAAAATTAAATTTTAATTTGTTAATATCTTTCTTATCAAATTTTTTATTACTAATATAAAAATACTTAAAATTTAATATATTAAATTTTAAGAAATTTTAATTTAAAAATTATTAATA